ATAGAGTGTGAACAAAATAAAGATTGGTTCCCGCAAAAACATAATGCGGGAATGTGAGAGCAGACAGGTGTCGGTGCTTGAATTTATCAACAATGTTGCAACCTTGTACACACACACACACACACACACACACACACACACACACACACACACACACACACACACACAACACACACACACACACACACACACACACACACACACACACACACACACACACACACACACACACACACACACACACACACACACACACTGCAAGATGTATGGCATGGAGCACCATCCTTGTGTCTGCCTCCTCCTCATCCTGACTCCTGCTGTGCAGATGCTCTTCACCTCCTCCCCTTCGTCAAATCCACCTGCCAAGATGATGGAGTCACCTGAGTGTAGTCTCTGTGGGGCAGCAGTGACAATGTAGTTGCTCACAAACATGCACAGTGCAGTCTTGTTTCCACTACTCCTCAAGTACTTCCTGTAGTTTGGGACATTTGTTTTGCTTTAGGTTATAACACTGGTGTCATTCTTCAGAGCTGGGTCCTCATTACAGGTCTGCACCTTTTTAAATGCACCTGCATTGACACACCCATTCACATAATCATACAGAGTGTTTGGCACATATTATATATATATATATATATATAGAAAACAAGAAATGAAATGTGTGGTCATGGTATTTGACAGGTATGACGGCCCACATTCAATCAAAGACCTGGAGAGGTGCAAGTGATGGAAGGCCTACACATGTTATCACTGGCAAAAATGTTTTCCCAAACTACAGGAAGTACTTGTGGAGTAGTGGAAACAAGACTGCACTGTGCATGTTTGTGAGCAACTACATTGTCACTGCTGCCCCACAGAGACTACACTCAGGATTTGACAAAGGGGAGGAGGTGAAGAGCATCTGCACAGCAGGAGTCAGCAGTTTGACATCACTGTACATTGATCAGGAGGAGGCAGAAACAAGGATGGTGCTCCATGCCATACATCTTGCAGAGTCATATTCCTGCATCATTGTGAGGTCTGATGACACAGATGTGGAAATACTGCTCATATATTATGCAAGCAAATACATGTTTGCAGGCCATGGAATGAGAGAGAGATATGTCCCCATCAACACTGTGAACAAATTGGAAAAGACATGTCTAACTGTCTACCAGCATGTCATGCCCCCCCCCCCTTCGCTGTGGCACAACAAGTAGTTTGTACAGAATAGGAAAGACAACAGCATTCACCAAACTCAAGACCCATCTCAGCGAGCTCAAAGATCTGGCCCATTTTGGACTCTGCCAGCTTGGAAGAGTCTTTGCCAGTCGCAAGAGAATTTGCGCTTCTGCTATATGGAAAAAAGAAAAAGGAAAATGAACTGATGTGCACAAACGTTGGAAGAACTGAGGTTCATAATTGCATCAACAACAGATGCAGCCTCGGAAAATCTGTCGCCAGAGGATGCATTCCAACAACATGTACAAAGAGCAATGTTTCAGACAGCGATATGGTGTCACAGCCCGAACTCAAACCCTTGTTATGGAGTCCTGTTGGCAAGGGGTGGATTGTCAGAGATGGGGCCATTCAACCAGTGCTATTTACAAAACCCCTAGCACCTACAGAAGTGAGACACATTACTCACTTGTAACCTACAGAAGTGAGACACATTACTCACTTGTAACCTACAGAAGTGAGACACATTACTCACTTGTATTGCAAAGATGCAAAGTGTGGAGAGAGTGGAAAGTGCCAGTGCCTCTCTGTTGGCCTTCCCTGTACGGAGTTCTGCACCTGCTGTGCAGAATGTCAAAATGTTTCCCCTAACGTTTGTGAGGAACCTGACATTTAACATTCTATTCTAGTATCTATATACTTGACCTCTCACAGAATTATTTGATGATTTGTATACTGTACTTTGAATTAAGGTTCCAGTTTCAATAAAACCTGTACTATTTACACCTATGTTTTAGAGGTTTGCAATTTAGAACTAATACACTTTATTGTATTGGGTTACTCTTATTCTGACTATTTGGTGATGTAGTTCAGCCACCTGGTATTTCCCTCTCCAAATATGATGACCATCAGACTCAGAGTGAGCATTCTTAACGTATAGGCTATTATGCCACTTATCCCTCATTCAGAATTTGACTGTATCAGAGAAGAGGTAGGCCTATGTCTAAAGAAATCTCATTTGCAATAGAACTGTACCAGATATGTCCATATATGTCCAATTCAGTAATGGTATATTTTTTAGGGATTTCTGTTTTTCTGATAAATGAGAGAAAAGTGATTGAGTTCTATGTTCCTATCACCAAAAAGTACAATTTCTGTCTAAACTAAAGCTAAGTTTACAGGACTATAATTCAGTATTTTTTTAAGTAAATAATTGTCTGACTATTTGGTGATGTAGGACAGCCACGGTTCATACCTCAGCTTTTTGTCACCTTTCCCATATTGGTCTAATTTGGCTCTTTCAAGAACAACCCAAAAAACATTTTTTCACAATATATTTCATTAATGGGAGACCCTAAAGATAAGAAAATCATTGTTGTGTTTTGTTCTACCTCGGGTAGGGGTACCTCAAAATCTGAGGGCCCTTCCTGCTAGACTATAATGTTCTTCACAGAAAATGAGCCAAGGCCATTGAGTGTGAGTTTGAAAAAATAATTTATCATATCATTTTTCTTTACCTAAATAATGAAAACGGGTCCCACAGACCCGAATACCACACAAGGGTTAACAATCCCTCAAAAAACAACGCTATATGTAGATGCCATGAACAAGACTCAGTAAAACAATGAAAAACCTACCGTGAGTGTGATCTGCAGTTCTCAGTGGAGATCCCCGTCCCTGAGCTGAGAGTTGGGTGCAGCACATTCAAACCGACGGACATCACACCTTGAACATGTCAGCCTCACGTAACATATTACACATCGTTACACTGAATTGAATCAGAAGTCATTTTCTGGACGGTTGCATCAGTTGTTTACTGACGATTTTTCCGTCAGGCACCATTGGTTCGTTGCATCATTGCCAATCGGTGTGAATGGATGATGGCTTGCCACAACACGTCCAAACACAAACCTGTTTTCATTGTTTTTCCACCAACTAATTTAGACACTTTTCTATAATTCGTTTTCATCCTTTTTTAAATCATTAATCCATCCTTCTCTAATGATTTATTTCATTTCCTCCTTTTAATTGAGTGATGGATGTACATGGTGCCATACCAGACAGTGTGGCTCCTCATCCTCCACTACCCTCGTCTCAAAGCTGTGTTGGATGATCAGGATCCCTGAAGTGTTGGGTCATCTTTCAAAATATGTTTTCCATTCACTTTGAAGGGAGGGCTCAGTATTCACTCACACTTTGACAACCAAGGAGTCACACAAGGAGAAGGAGGAGAGAGGGGACACCAGGTGCAGCAGTATTACTTTTCTTTCTCAGGTGAGTGACATGTTGGTTACTTCTGTTCATTTAAACACTAGTTGTACATGAATGTTTTTATTTCTTGGTACAGTTCTTCAGTCTTGTAGCCGTTGCTTTTATAGCGGCAATATTCTGCAGATTTCATTAGATTAGTTTTGCATGGCCGTCTTTATTGTCAGGTTACATATTTGCATGTTTCCCTTAGATACAGAGATAGACGAAATGTTGACCTGGTTGAAACATATAGGGAGACAAGCAAACATATAGGGAGACATGCAAACATTTAGGAAGGCAGGCAAACAATTGTCAGCCCTTTCATAAAGCAACATTTGACCTACAGCCGTTGCATCGTGTGGCACTTCATGAAAAAAAAGGAAGTAGGTTAAAGAGTCTGAGAGTGTGAGACAGAGACAGCAGAGAGGATCAGTTCTGTACACGACTAAGTGTCAGATCAAGGTAAGAGGCTTCACTTTCCATACAAAACTGAATAGAAGAACATTGGGGTTTTACAATATGCATGAGACCACTTGGAGTGCAGTTTGTTTTTTAAATTAAAATACTACATGAGTAAAATGCATTTTTCCTTATGTTTTAACCTTTGTTCTGTCAGAAAATATCACTTGAAGACAATGTAGTTTGATACCGCAGCATCATGTGTTACCTTTTCTCTGTGCATTAGCTACTAAAATACACACTTTTATTCATTGCTTTTTGAAAGCATGTCTTTGGACCAGCAGTATTAATATTTGCTTGATGAGTTGGCAGTTATTTTTTTAACAACGCTTATTATACTGTATATATTTCACAGAACAAGTTTGGGATTACTATGAATTCTGACAAGTTAAGAACGTTTACTTTCAAGTGCTGGTTCTCAGATATCCACGGTGTAACTGCATTTAGAGTTACATTTGTGTTTCCAAACTCCATATTAACGATATATGTCATCATATGAATTTGAATATATAGTGGAAAAGCTATGATGATCAAGCATATAATAGCTCATGCTCATTCACCTTGTTTGAATAGAAAAGTTAAGAAACTGTCACTCAGCACTTTCTTTCATTTTCAAAAACTCATCACACACTTTGAACTTGAGTTTAACATGTAATTATACATCTAATATTTATTCATTATTATTTGTTTATTTTTAAATATGTTTTAACTGCAATATATATTGCTATCTTTGACAAATACCGGAATTTTCACCAGATGAATAAGCATCTTTCTACTGAAGTGGTGTTTCTTTTGCAATCAAGTCTTCCTCTTCTGTCCTGTTCCGCACTCTTATTTAAGGTTGTGGTGAACAAGTAGCTCCTTTTTTGGTTGTTGGATACATAGATCAAGAATGTTTGTGGTGGTTTGCTGTGCATGCAGAGCCTGCGTGTATAGCAACACGCTTAAAGTATCAAAGAGGGCTTACATTTGAGTAAATAATATTCTTTCAAAATAGATAAGTCATGGACAATGTTCTCCTTTTGTGTAAAGAGCAAAAAAGGTTAAAGTATATTGCATCTATTGTCTCTAATAACTAATATGTTTTTGTCTCTTCTGTTTACAGATCTTTGGGGTCCTCTGATCCTGCCGCCATGGAGGTTTCCTACATCAACTCCTCCCTGCTCTTCATCTCCCACCGACCCATGAACAGCACCTCCGAGCTGACGGTGTATGACACCTGCAGAACCATGCCTGCTGTTCTCATCTGTTACCTGGGCCTGCAGTTCATCAACATGTTCCTGGGCATCCCGGCCAACCTCATGGTGCTGTGGCTCATCCACAGGAACAAGGGGGACTCCTGCACCTCAGATATCTTCATCTCCCACCTGGCGATTTCAGACCTGCTCTTCTGTCTTATCCCTCCGCTAGAGCTGGCCAACATCGTCTTCCTCACCACCAGCAGCACCTGGTACGTCCTGCGCTTCTTCTACGGCATCAAAGACTCCTCGCCTCTCTTGCTGTCCTGTATCTGCCTGGACCGCTACATGGCCGTGGTTCACCCCATCACCTTCACCGAGCTCAAGGACAGAAACCACAGAGCGATCCTGGCCATCATCGTCTGGGTCATCACCCTGGCCTACGCAGCGGCTAAATGTGTGGGCAACATTGTCAACTTCGAGAAGGTCTTCACGGGGATGATCCTCGCATCCTTTGCGTTCATGGTGTTCTGCAACATTTCCATCCTCTGGGTGCTGAAGCAGTCTGGGCCGGCCAGAGACGAGATGCATCCCGTGAAGAAGAGAGCCTTCAAGATGGTCCTCATCATCTTGGCCATCATTGTGTTCAACTACTTCCCGCCTGTCGCACTCTTCCCCTTCCAGGACTACTTCTCTCCGGACGTGTTCCGCTGCTACATTCACTACGTGGCCTTCGGTCTGATGGACTTCAGCAGCAGCATTCAGCCCATGCTCTATCTGTCCAAGGTGAAGCTCAACTGCTGCCACAGAGGCAACACCGAAATTCAATAGGGATACATGTTTTTATTATTTTTATATTTATGAATATTCTATTGTTTTGATAAATAGTATGTTTGTTTTTTTATCAGAGGTTGAAAATGCTGATAGTAACTAGATGTATTGTGCGGTGGGTCCCTCAAAGAGGGCTTATATGAGACAAAACTTTTAAAATGAATATTTAGTAAATTAATAGATTTCATTAAATTATCCTTACCTGATAACATCATGAACGTTTTTCCCAAAAGTTTACATTTTCTAATTAAATGGTTTCAAATAAACAAATAACTTTACAGTTAACTCAGGAATTACTTATGCAGATTGTAGAGTTTGTATTTGTCTGGGTTTTAGAGATACAAGAGCCTAAACAATTAGTTGATTAATCAATAATTTGGTCAAAAGAAAACAGAAATTGTGATGGGCAATTTGTCCCCAATTTTTCGTTCTCATTTTTAGACTAAACAATTGTTTGATAATTGGGAAATAATCGACACATAGATTGATAGTCAAATGAATTGTTGCAGCCCTAATAGTTTCTAAATACTTCAATTATGACACTTTCATCAATCTACAATAATTGAAAAGCAACTATTTGTCTAAATCCGGCCGCCTTTGCGGTTTGATCTTGAAATGGTCAGGTCACCCTCTGTGTTATGCCTGTTTGTACTTCCTGTCTGCGCCTATTTGATTATCCGATTACCTTTTCACCTGCTACCCTTGTGTTTTTCCTGCACTCCACAGATGTGTATTGTCCTTGGGATTAGTTCTGCATGTATTTAAGTTCTGGTTTTCTGTCAGTATTCGTCAGATCCTTGTGTGTCGTTGTCAGGAACATTTCTGTTCTGTTTTGTTTTGGCCCTGCCCTGCCTGGATAACTGTAAATAAAGGTATTTATTCTGTAAAGGTCTTCACTGTCCTGCTTTAGAACAAACCTGCTCTGATTCCTTGTGAGACAAGTACAAATAAATGTCTCCAATAATAGTGGCCAAGTCACAACAAAAAGTATCTAAAAGCATTAAGTGTTGAAACATGTGTGGCTTCACTAGTGAGAAAACTATACCCTTCACATTTGTAAAGTTGTGCAACATTTATTTAATGTATCCTTCAGGGAAAAACACTGGGAACTATTGTATGTATGCACAGACATTGATTTACTGTATATACTGTCTTATATTTGCTTTTTCTTGTTGTACCAGATGCATAAAGAGACCTCACAGAACGTGTTTCATTTCAAATCAATTATACATATAAACGTTTTTTGGTTCACTTTCTTTTTAATTTAGACACAAAACACACATGTAGGTTACAATAAAGTCCTAGTGGAAAACACTCAGTTTAATAGTGTTTACGTCGCTGTGGAGGTATATCAACCAATTTCCAAACAAACAGAAGCCCTATCATCATAAACATGACGTTTTCCTCTTGTGTGCGTCAGCTTCCTGTTAGCACAGTGAAAACAAAACCTCTAAAAGCTCAACATCGTTTTAGATCAACATGGCTGAAAAACCAATTATTGATTCAATAGTGAAAGTTGGTCAATAGATATTGATTATTTGCAGCAACACTATTTTAGTCACGTTATTACACAAATACATTCGTGTCAGTTCAATGGAACAGACTGCTGGATGTATAGTTAAAGCTAAATATACAGCAATATATTTATAATCTTTATCATAAGTCACTGGTGCGGCACACATTTCTAACACTCTGGCTACTATACAAAATGTTGACATGTGCGTAGAAGCATCTTAAATGGTGTAATTCTCAAACAATGATATCGTTATTGTTAACTGACCCCTGTGGGGATATTCTATTTTCAAGGTCAAACGTAAGCACCACAGAAAAAAACAGTGTGTTGCTTCAGCAGGGAGGTCGAAAAGGCATCCTGCTAATCTGACAGGCATTCAACAACTTTTCTTTTTAAGCATTATATTACCAACATTTGGTGCCATACACACGTTTAAAAGAACAGTTCTGTAAGGGTCCCATTATCTGTCTCACAAGAGGAACATTCGATTTAACGAGTCAAAAGAAAATAATAGATAAATCATAACTTATTGCTAAATACTTGGAGCTAATAAACCACAGCAAATACAACAGTGTATTGCACCGTACCACAAAAACCATGTACAATGTTTTGCGTAAAACCGTGATCTCGGGAACAGCAGTTAGACATATAGGATCTCAACCTTGAGGTCCACTTAAAGGTCCCATGACATGGCCATTTCCACTGATCATCATTGTTGAGGTCTACTAGGATCGATTTACATTGTTCAATTTTTCAAAATCACATTGGTTTCTCATACAGCATCTCTGTATAGTATAATAATAATAATAATAATAATAATACATTTTATTTTTAGGCGCCTTTCATGACACCCAAGGACACCGTACAATTTGTTAAAAAATAAATAAATAAAACGCTAATAGGCAACAAAACATGATAAAAACACAAACAGGAAATCATGGAGGAGACAGTCAAGTGGACACAAATGAAACATATAATAGGGAGCACTACAGTGAGTAGGCAGATTTGAACAGGTGGGTTTTTAATTGGGATTTGAATATGGTGATTGTGTCTGACTGTCGGATGTGCGGGGGGGAGGGAGTTCCAGAGTCTGGGAGCAGTGCAGCTAAAAGCCCGAGCACCCATGGTGACGAGGCGTGGGGTGGGGACGGTTAGCAGACCAGCAGAGGAGGAGCGGAGGGAGCGAGACGGGGTGTACTCCTGAAGAAGGTCAGCCAGATAGGGGGGGGGGCCAGGTTATGTAGGGCTTTGTAAGTGAGCAGTAGATTTTTGAAGTTGATGCGTGATTGAACGGGGAGCCAGTGGAGTTGGATGAGGATGGGGGTGATGTGTTCTGAGGCCTTGGTGCCGGTGATGATCCGGGCTGCAGAGTTCTGTATGATTTGTAGTTTGTTGATGAGCTTGGTGGGTATGCCTGAGAGGATGGCGTTACAGTAGTCGATGCGGGACGTGACAAATGCATTGACCAGGATTTCAGTGTTTGATTGAGAAAGGGATGGGCGGAGTCTGGAGATGTTGCGTATGTATTCACTCTCTGTCCTAAACGGCTTGTTGGAGCTCCTCCCCCCCTCCCTATGAGCCCACTGTGCTCTGATTGGTCAGCTCGCCCACTCCACCGTTACAGCGGAACATCAGTGTTTGTGTTACAATGGCGTTTGTTAGCAACCAGAAAATGACACCAGTAATGACAAACAGATGAGAATGCTGCGTGTTGGCGGGACGTTGCGGGGCTCGCTGCTCCGCCCTTTGAGGCTCGAGGAGCGGACAGTGTGAGCTGGATTACTGGTGTAGTTTCCTGGTTGCTGCGGGGGGTCTGCGAGACAGCGAGACACCGCGGAACTCAGCCTGAGAAAAGATAAGGCTGAGTGTGTGTGTGAGGAGCCGTTACGTCACTATACTCGTGGTAATAACCAGAGAAGCATGTCATAAAAAAAAAAAAAATGGGACCTTTAAACGTTTTTCTGGTGCTTTGAACCAGAGCACACATCAACTGCCCTGCAAAATGTCAGCTCTCCTGCAGTGCGTTGTTTAAGGTACCAGATAGACGAAATACAATCCAGGAGGTCCAGTTTAGGTAGCAGTTGAAAACTAAATCATCTATAAACAGATAAAGCAGTGATACTCATATGACGTAGGCTGTGAGATGTATTTCTGTATCAGAGTAACCTTGTCTCTTGATCTTTCTCAGCTTTTATATTAGTCTCTTCTATTGGCCCTTTAGTTCTAACTTCTATCAGTGTCTGATAGCGTCTCTGAGGCTGCAGGTTGGTTTGTTTCTGTCTCACTGGTGCTTCCCTCGCTCTGAGCCTTCTGCTCCTTGATCGCATGCACCTTCAGGTGCTTCTTGAGGGACGACTGGTCGGTGTAGGTCTTACCACACTGGCTGCAGAGGAACACCTTCTCTTTGGTGTGCACCAGCTCGTGTCTCTTCAGGTGTCCCGACCTGCTGAAGCTCTTGCTGCAGAACGAGCAGCTGTACTCCTTCTCTCCGGTGTGAGTCCTCTGGTGCAGTTTGAGGCTGCTGGCCACCGTGAACTTCTTGCCGCACTCGTTGCAGCTGTACGGCCTCTCTCCCGTGTGCATGCGCATGTGAATGGTGAGGTGGCCCGCCTGGCTGAAGGTCTTCTTGCAGAGCTCGCAGCTGTAGGGCCTCTCTCCAGTGTGGATCCTGTAGTGGGTTTTAAGGTCCCCTAAGCCATTGAAGCATTTCCCACACTGAGCGCAGCAGTACGGCTTCTCCCCGGTGTGAATCCTCTGGTGTATTCGAAGGTTACCTGCATTGCTGAACGTCTTGCCGCACTCCTGGCAGCTGTAAGGTCTCTCCCCGGTGTGAGTCCGCAGGTGGACTTTGAGCTGGTTGTGCTCGTTGAAGCGCTTCCCGCAGTGCGAGCACGAGTAGGGTTTCTCTCCGGTGTGCACACGTTTGTGTATCCTGAGCTGACTGGGGTGGGCATACGTCTTGCTGCAGATGTTGCAGCAGTAGGGTCTCTCTCCTGTGTGGATACGCTTGTGGGACCTGAGGAGATCAGCTCGTCCAAAGCGCTTGCCGCAGTAGCTGCAGATGTGAGCTTTCTCAGCGCTGTGTGTCTTGATGTGGATGTTGAGAGAGGAGGCTCGACTAAATGTTTTGGGACAAGTAGGACAGCGTAAGAAGTTATCAGGAACCTCTAAAAGTTCAGGAACTGCAGCGTTTTCCTCATGTGACTCTACTTCTGGCTCCACAACCTGTGTAACCGCCGCCTCAGGGTCTATTTCTGATTCAGGGTTATACCTCAACGCCTGCTTCAAAAGTAAATTGTCACCATCATACTGTGACACCCCATTCTGCTCCTCCTCAGTCTTTATTAATTGTCCATCCTGCATGTAGGTGTCAGAAACAATGGTGACTTTAACTTCACTGTCACTTCCTCTGGAGTCTTGTTCGAGGCCTGTAGATGGCGGCATAGGCGCATATGCATCATGACTGCTAATATTGACTTCCGTGCTCTCGGTTTTCATTGTTAGATTGAGCAGGGATGAAGGCTGGGAGAGGTCAATAGCACCACTTTCATCCAGGCCAGGCTCTGTTTTAACAGATAACACGTTTTGTATGATAATGCCTACATCGGCTGTGCTCACACATTGTGTTTCTTCCATATGATCAGGCTGCAGTAAAAAGGAGGAAGAGGATGTGTTCTCCCTCGTCTTGTCTTTCTGCTTCCTCCTGAAGCTCTTCTTGTCACTGCTGCATATGGACATCTTGAACGTGCCCTGCGTCGAGCCGAAGGGATAATCGTTCCATTCTGAAGAGGAAAACTTTTCAGTGGCATCTTGTTCACGAGGATCTGTAACAAAGAGAAAGACAAAATGATGAACAAACTAGTACAGACTGTGATTTATAGAGTAGTACAAATCTACATTACAGCCACAATGGTTGAGTAGCTGACAGAAGTACAAGGAAATATAAGTAAAATAAGTCTTGAACGTGATTATGGAAGAAACAAACTGCTTATCATTTAAAATTGCATACATTTTCCTGCAATAGCTGTGTGTTATAGGTGGATATTAAGGTGGATATAAGTGTAGTTGTCAGCCAGAAAAACATAAACAATGAGATGCTAGACACTGAAATGCTCAATAGAGCTGAGGGATATTGCATCTTTGTCACAAACAGTGACCAGTTTTACACTTAAAGGTGGGGTAGGTAAGTTTGAGAAACCGGCTCGAGATACACTTTTTGTTATATTCCATGGAATGCTCTTAACATCCCGATAGCAATGAATATCTTAAGTGCTTTGACAAAAAATCCTCCTCCACCTTTAAATAGCCAGTTTTAATCACAAACATGATAATTGTATTATCCAGGCGCTGCATTTTTAAAACAGCATTGCACAATAACTGTATTTGATACACATCTATCTATTGTAGTCTACTGTGTATGGTAGAATTCCCTGTGTTCTACCACCATCCTTACTCGCAGTATATAAACCTGTTACAGTGTAATTAGTACTGTATTAAACAGTGATCTACCGGCCAATTTCCTACATCAAATGTTCGTCAATGTTTACGTCTGTTTGCAGTTTCCGTTTACTGCTGCCTTTTATGATGTCTACTAGGTTAACACATACACAGACACAATTTGCTGACAACGCGAGGGAAGCTAGAACAAAAGGTCAGCAGCTGCATGAAGCTCCACTGTCGAGACAAACACAGACACCCCTCCATTATTGACCTAGTGTAGACAACCATACCTCTAGCAGCAGACTCGGTGCTCCTCTGTGCTAACAGCAGCCTCTTCTGGCCCTCGTTTTCGGACTCGAGCCTGTGTATTGTGCCCTGGTACTCGGACAGGGTCCTGTCCACTGAATCCAGGATGTCGCTCACTGTGGATTTGAAGATCTCATTCAGAGAAGACTCCAGGAACATCTTTAGATCACTCGGCTTGGCCATGGTAGACCGAGTGGCTGAGCACAACAACTCGCCAGATGGTTTGTACATGGTTGAAAGTATCGGTATAAAAAGTGGGTGTGTGCAGCGAGCCACAGGAAGTGCGCCGGTCGTTGAAGCCGATTTTTGGAATGGCCGTAGTGGCCAACCAGTGGTACTACACCTTCAGTGACGTAATTTTGTCCCAAAGAGACGTCTGTAAATCACCGTATATATATTTTTTTTATCTAAATAAAATACACAGTACGAACAATTGCATAGCCCTTATTTAAATCATTAGGGGGTAAAAGTTGTGAAATGCGCTATATGTTAAATCCAGAGTTATTTTTCGACTGAGCCGACAACGGAGGTGGGGTTTAAGGGAAACTCACGTGAGCACGCTCTGTAAACAAAAGGCCCCGGATGATCCGGGTACTTTCTTAATCTACAGTAGCTCCATTTTGGGCTTCATGCACCAAATTCAACTCTCATAGGAATGAACAGAGCTGTATCCAGTTCTCTTTATACATCCCTGGTGTGTGCAGTCGGCTTCTGCTGCTGCTGCCGTGTGCGGAACAAACAAAGCAGAAGCAGTCGCACGAAAGTGACGGAGAGGAGATGATGGTTTTGTTTTTCTTAAAAAATTGTGTAGCACCCCTTGCTGGTGTGGCGGGGAGTGGTTTAGCGGGGGCCCTAGCTAACGTTACTAGGATGCTGTTTACACAAATAACCACGGTGATAAATGGTGTTTAAATAACATTAGGAAGGACTGCAAAACTGCAGCAGTACTACTTGGTCATTACTAATAATACTACTAATACTACTAAGCAAAATCAGCTAGTACAACCACTAGCTAGCAACTAACTCACTGCAACTGCAAGGATGCTCACATAAATGCTAGGTAATGCTAATATTTTAATACCAACGGTTATCTGAATGCTATACATGCTAATGACACTGCTTACAATGTTTAATAAGGTTAGCTTGTTAGCTACACAGAGTGTAGCTTATTGTGATTTAACACTTATAATGTAAAAATGTTGATTAAAAATGAATTTTAATCAAACTCAATATAAATAACAAAGGTCCACTAACGTTTTTTTCTAACGTTTTTGATTACACCTAGGTAGTTAGTATGCTTTAACGTTTAACGTAAATGTAGCTAACGGAAATAAAGAAGAACAAAAGTGTTTATAATTGTATGCAGCACTTTTTGTTATGCCAAAAAGCTATGTACGATTATACATATTATTAATGGTACTACTAATGATAAATAACGATTTTCCTGCTGCTAACAGTCATGTGACTAATGATGGCAAATGATTCACCTACTAACGATAATGCTTAAACAATTTTTGTATTATTATAATTATAAAGTCGTTACAGCAGTTGAATTAAGGAAAATGTAATACACAAAAAAGATTTAAAGCGAATAAAATCAAAAAGAATGTGTAAAAACTAATCAAAGAAGAATCAAGTTAATACGTTTTTATATGTAAGCCCTTTAGAACAACCCATGTCTGAGTTAAACAGGCTTTTCTGCCCACAGCCAGACAGTAAACCAAAATGAAGATGACTGATGTCCATTGAATCAGGGTACCTTCTGGTTTTACCACATAATTCCTCATGTCATATGCAGGAATGAAGCTGAGCCACTCCCCTCACCTGTATGTTTGCTTGCATGCCTTCAGTGTGGTGGGTGTGGAGGCCTCTCAGGTGTCTCTGAGCTCATCCGCCAATCACACTGTATCTTTTCCTTCCTCCTCCTCGTTGCCAATCAAATTCTCTCCTCCTTTTTTTTCACAGCTATACCTGCTGGGAGAAGAACAGGACAGCGGGAGACTGAAGTTTGATCTTGAATTTTTGAAAATGGACAGGAAGCATGAAGGAGAAGAAGGAGGAGGACCTAGTCCGGACTAGGACTTGTGACTTGCATTCATTGTTATGCGACACCACAGACTCAAAGGCTGCGCGGCTAAAAGAGAGTGAATGTGAGGCTTGTTTGTTGTGCGCAGCAGGGTCAGACATAATCAACTGAGGGTTACTTGTATGCTTGTGTGCATGTGTTTGTGTGCCTGTGAAGGTGCAGCACTTTGACAGCGGGATAAACCCAGTAAAACACAGCGGTGTGTCTCCCTCCCACAAGACTTAAAACATCACAAGTCTACCGATCATATGATGGTGCTTTAAAGAGCCTGGAGGGGGTAAGTCATGCTTCACAGTTGAAAAGATTCCTTCTAATGAGATTTATTTTAGCTCTTTGAGGTTTGAATATGTTTAAATTAATGTCTGTGCCAAGCTAACTGACAGTAATGAAAGACACAGGGAGTGTTTATCCTCCTTAGACAAATTCTATTATTATACACACAAACATTTAAGTCATTCCACAGCTTTCACTTCACTCACTGTGGCTGAGTTCCTCTTTTTTATTGATGTTTTCTCTGTGGTGTGCTGTAATGACTTCCCATTCATTGTACGCAACTTCTCCTGGTATCCCCCTGTTGGGGCATTCTGCAAGTTTGTTTGAGTAACGTTTGACTAAAACTGAAACTATTTCTCATTTATTTTTATGGGTGTTTTCTATTTGAGGAAGGCTAAAAAAAAGCTTCTCTGGAAATGTCCGGCGTGCATTTGTTATGCGTCTGAGCAGTGTTTATTTGATCAACATTGCCCCTGTGGATAACAATGCACGCAGAGGATCAACTGTGTTATCATGTGAAACACAGCATTTGATCCAAGAGAGACAAGATATTATAACCAGTACTGTATGATATCATAATCGCCCATTTTTTTAAACTGTCAGATTCTTACTTACAAATCTTATGGTAGGAACGCTTAAACTTTGAATAATTTTAATATCAGTATCTCCATACTTTTAGTTTCAACAGGGTTTCATCATTAGGTTTAGGTGACCCTCTTTGTTAATCTTTGTAAACCATCTTGCATATTTGTGTAGCACTTGCACCCTGACAGGAACTGAGAAGTGAGCACCCACACAGGAAATGTGGTCATGGTCGGTCCCGGATGTTGGTTGCGTGACGTGAATAGAATTAAGAAAGTCAGAAAAGAATAGAAATATCAAAAAGTATCACAGAGCGAAAGATAGATATAATATGAGGTGTGACATTTTAACTGTGTTTATCACCAGTAGAAACACAGATGTCATTTTGTTGTTGATGTTGTGTAGCTGGCCTTGGTTTGCGCTGTAATCCTTTCACACTTTTATCCTTTGCCCAGAGTCACCACACAGTGTGCTGATAAAATGATAAACACAGGACGTAGGCAGTTAAACGGCCGACCAGAAACAGCCCTTCAACTCCACCTTCTGTCTCTTTCTTAATCCACACCATACTCTCTCTCTCTACCTCTCTTTCTCCTTCTATCGCTCTCGCTGACTTGCTTGACTGATTTTCTGTGTCTGTGGTCAGGAAGTACAAACATGCCAAGAGTCACACCTGCTGCACCACGCAGAGAGTTAGAAAACATTTGACAAATGAGCAACACAGGCTCAAAAACAGACATAAACTTTCTCCAGATTGGATTATTTGGGCAAACAAGTGGTGAGTGTTTTTTGCTATCAGGGTTGTAAAGATATTATTTTAGTTTGTAATTTGAAATGGTGTTCTCAGTAGTTATAAACATACTGTTTCTCATGGATGAAAAGACAAAAAATAAGAACCAAATACAAACTATGAATCTTATAGATACGATAACTCTACAACCATTTACCTAACAGGTTACCTAACATTTCGTTTTTATTTCATGAAGAATCAGTTTCACAAAACAGTTTGGCATGTGTTACAGGATGTCAGGCTTAACAGCATTGAGAGGGAATGTCTCACTCTCCTCACGATGGGTGTGTGGTAAAATAACTTTTAACTTTCATATTTGTTCTCTTATTACAGATCTGTGAATGGCGACATTGGAGTTTGTTACATTCTTCAGGGTTTATGGAATCTTACAAAATGATCAACCTTGATACGGCAGAGGAAGACATTTTATAGCGAGACATCCTTTACAGCTACAGCGTCTTTCACCCAAACCACAAACGACCCAGCAACGGAACTGACGGAGATACGAGCTAATGGAGGAGGAAAACGTGTGCTCCTCTCTGCCAGATGTTCCAGATTCAGTCTTTCAGGAGCCTCGACAAGACTCATGGACCTCCATCGACCACCGGTACGTGAATGGAGAGCAGGAGAGCGCCGAGTGTGGTGACGCAGAGGCAGAGATAAACCAGACACACGGGAAAGATCAACTCAATCTCTCCCCGGCGGCAGGTCGAGAGGCTTCTGAGGAGGCAGAGGAGTGGGAGCAGATACAATGGTCGATGCAACCCATGCCCTGCAGCAGTCCTCCACTTTCTTTCTGCACAGTGCAGTGGGACATGCCAGATCTTTCCGCAGAGGGACCTTCACTCATGACTGACAGCAGCTCGGCCAATGAGCCGGACTCTGGTGCCGTGACGAGTGGAGAGACCACTTCCCCAGCCCTTCACTCATCTGAAGGCGTGAACGCTGAGCTCCTCACACAGGGTGACAGAGGGGAAGAAGATGGTTTTAATTCACGGCTTCTGAACTCAAATCTAGAGTGGACAGGAAACATCTCAGAGGTATGTAACGTACACAAGGAGCTATAAAAGGAAGTGTTGCCTTTATTTTCAAACTCTTTCATATTTCAAATTTCTATGTGCGTTTACACTTTCAAATTTCCTGTGTCATTAACACTTCCTACTTCACTCTGGCCTCACCGCCTCAGACATGTTTGGGTTGCTGTGGTAGAGTGGACATAATGTTGGTCAGATGAGGCTCAGAGTGCAGCTTCTCGTGCTGCCGCTGGTAATCACAAGCTTTTTTTCCCCACCACTAATGTTCATGATCAATGGTCTGTGTTGCAATTTCCAGCCATGTGATTCTGCAGATGTGCTGCCGACTCAGGAAAGGGAAGGTTCACCACATGAGCTGTCAGACAGTAATAACGGTACGTATTACTCAGAGAGGCAACTTTAATGAGTTGTGTAGTTTCAAGTGTTTTCTCAGTTCAGTATTCACACTCGTGGTAGCTTGTGGCCTTTTCATCTTTATTCTAAATGGTATAACTAAAAAACTGTGATGTTCACCTTCTTAACACTCTTCCAGGAATCTTACTGAGAACAGAGGAAGAGGAAGAGGAGGCACACTCGGCAGCGTCAGATCCTGTTAACTCTGTGGACTTACTCGACATTCTTAGAGAAATCGATGGCTCCGAAGATGAATCGGACAGTTTCGTAAATTTAAAACTAGAAGAGCAGGAGGAGCCCGCCGTTTTGCTGACTCCGCAGGGAGACTCTGAGGAAGAGCAACCTTCATCCAATGGTGTTGAGAACGAGGAAGAAGGCGAGGGGGAAGATAAGGAGCAGATAAACGTGTTGTGCTCCGAGGAAAGTGAAGAAGCAAAAGCTGCCAGCTGTCTGCATGATGTGTGAGTAAAATAAACCTAAGTTAAGAAGGGGAACAGGAAGTGTCTTTTACCAGAAACTGCATCCGTAATGTTAATCATGATACAGCGTAATGTGCTATTATAGGTAGGGCTGTGCGATTATGGCAAAAATCATAATCACGATTATTTTGGTCAATAATTGATATCACGATTATTAAATACGATTATTCATTGACTTTGAAAACATCCATTTATTGAACTTTTAAATACAAATAATAATTTGAACAGTATCTTTTTAACTGTTGATTTCCCTGAACGTATAATTCAACTGAAAAACCAATACAAAAATAAATTAAATAAATGATACATTTATATCTACATTTAAATAAATAATATCAAAATAATAAATACCAATAAACAAGATCAACAAATATTTTGGAGCGCACTTCAACAAGCTACTAAACATATATAAATATGATAAATACAAATACATTTGATCAAATATGTTGCAGTGCACTGTCACAACCTAGCAAAGCAAAATAATCGTTTTTTTCGATTATGTTGTTTTCGTAATTGTGGCAGGCCAAAATCGTAATTGCGATTAAAATACGATTAATTGCACAGCCCTAATTATAGGGCAAGGCCATTTTGTTTATAGAGCACCATTCAGGCACAAGGAAATCCAAAGTGTTTACAGGTGTAGATTTATATTACATAAATGGCATTTACAAAAAAAAATACAAATACAAAAAAGGAAAAAATCCAGCAAATAAGCAGTTAAGAAAAATAATTTATAAAAAAAACAATTGCAACAAAGAATACAAAAATAATGATTTGAATTAATTGGAAAGCAGCTGTAAACACTGTTTCAAGCCTTGGTTTAAATGAGGACAGTTGAGCAGACATCAGGTATTCGGGAAACTTGTTCCACAGGTTGGCAGAATAGAAACTAAAAGCTTCTTTACCTTGTTTGATGTTTATCCTGAGAACACAATATATGACGATCATAAGGGTCTGGATGCTTCATAACTAAGAGATGTCTTAATGCCAGGAGTGCTTTCAAGAGAAGTACACTAATTAACTAAAGTGCATTTCTCATCCACACTTTGAAGGGAGCTTCTTGCAGAGCCACTAGAAGCCGCTGACTCTGGACCAACCGTACACCCAGATAAGATAATTGATCTGCAGCAGTCGGAGCTCTTGGAAGAAAGGCGGTACTCTGGGACTGATGAGGACATAGAGATAGAGGAACGGTTACATGAAGATCCCACAGCTCGGACTGAAGAGCCAGAAATGTGCGAAGGTGTAAATCAGGACTCTGAACAGTCACAGGCTGAGGACAACAGCGAAGGAGAGTCAAAACTTGCTGAAAATCATACAGAGAGCCTAGAAAAATCACCGGAGATAGTGGAGAAACTGGAGGAGACAAGTTGTTTAGATCAACGTGATTGTGACCAAGCCAGATTACCAGATTTAGTGCTGTCCTCTCAGCCGGAAGACGCTGAGTCCTCTCAGCTGGGGGTGACTGAAGAGTCAGAGCAGATTCAAGCAGAGGTGTCTCAAGACTCTGACCAGTTAGGACAGTCACAACATCTGGAACCAGAGATGACAGGAGAGTTAACTCAACCTGAAAATGCAGAGCTGCCAGAGGACTCCACTCAGTCAGAGCAGACAGTTTGCGTTGAAGCTGAAGACCCCGGGGAGACGGAGCGGCGAGAACAGACGGAGCCATCAGTGCAGAATGAGCAGACGCTGCAAACGAGCGACTTGTCTCGGCCGGCGCTCTCTCAGCAGGCTGTGCGGCCAGAGACAGATGAGTCAGAAACAACAGAGCAGCTGTCTCCAGACACCCAGGTCGAGTTCAATCAGGTGGACAAACAGGCGGAGACGTCACATCAGGGCGACCAGGACGGAGGTGCTAAGGATGGAGCGGGGCAAACAGTCGTAGCAAATGGAGAGCAACCACCTCCTGTGACGGCAGCGCCTCAAATGAACATAGACGAGGTGAACAGAGAGATGGCCCGCCGCCTCGCTCTGCGGCTCTTCAAGTTGGAGGATGTCCAACGTGCAGATGTGGTGAAGCACTTAGACAAAGAGTAAGCATATATTATAATTAAGATATTTTCCAACCTTCCTTAATTTTTTACCGACAACTGGCCACTAGAGCTGCAGCTGAGGCTTTTGCTTTAGCCAGAACACTCTCACAGAAAGTCTGATTCAAGATATTGTTTCAAGATTCAAGATATTTTGTCTCAGCTCTCCACACCTAAATATTTAGAAACTATACATACAAACAAATATGTATGATAGCATAAAGACCTTTTTTAAATACAAGCGGACATGCACAAACAAGGGGTAATGATATTTCACATTTAAAAAAATCTATAGATTTCATTGACTATTTTATACTATGTTTTAAATTACAGTTAAATTGTTTAGTTTTTTTAATCTTTTTGACTTTATTTTGAACACTTACAAACCATTTCTTATAATCATTCTGATATATATTATCTTGGCCATCATATTCAAGAAGCTGTCTTTTTCAAACAATCCAAACCACACCCTCTTCCTTTGCATCCAATTTATATTAAATACCACCAATTATCATTCACAACATATTGTCAATAATTTGAATGTTTTCCTTTTCTGACCCAGAAAAATGTCTCAAATATATGATTTGTAAGGTACAAAGTAGTCACAACGCTGATACAGAATGTGTTTTGTCTCTGTTTAGCAATGACTTCAGTCGTGCTGTCGGGGAGGAATACCTGAAACTCTTTGACTTCACCGGGGAAACTCTCGATCATGCCCTGAGGTAAGAATTCTAGGAGCCTGAAATTCATGCAGTAACAAAACACGCTCATAAAATATCTCGTAATCTTTTTTTTCTTTCTTTGCGCTTCCTTCTATCGCAGATCTTTTCTGAAAGTGGTGGTGCTGATCGGAGAGACGCAGGAAAGAGAGCGCGTGCTGCAGCATTTCGCCTGCCGCTTCCAGCAGTGCAACCCCGACACCTTCACCTCCTCAGGTGAGCCTCCGTCAGGTTGTTTTCTGCTTGAGATACAGCATTGAGCGCTCATATGTGATGGATGTGTAATTGTCCCTCTTTTTCCCCCCTCCCCAGAGTCTGTGTTGGCTCTCACGTGCGCTTTAATGCTTCTCAACACTGACTTGCACGGGCAGGTGGGACATATTTATGACTGTTTACCATCACGATGTTTACCAGATGATCTCAGTGAGGCATTTAGTCAATCATGTATTGTTTTGTGTGTTTTAACAGAATGTAGGAAAATGCATGTCCTCGTCTAAATTTGTGTCTAACCTGGATGGGATGAACGAAGAAGAAAACTTCAGCAAGGATCTCTTAAAGGTAATACCGTCACTGAATTCATTTGATAAGAAAGCAAAATGAAGTACAATAATTAACAATGTTTCTCTTTGTCTAAATTGCAGAGTCTTTACAATTCAATAAAGAGTGAGCCGCTGGAGTGGGCTATGTAAGTGCTCTGATAATAATATTATATAACGTAATTTCACATCATCTGTTCCTCTTCATGCTTTACATATGTACTTTCACACATCTGTTCTTGCATCTTAAAGTGACGAAGAGGAGTTGAAGAGCTCTGTGCTGACGGACGATGACACCGGAGTAGATGCGCCGCTGCGTTCAGAAGCCAACCCCTTCCAGGACGTTCCTCACGACAAAACGGCCTCTGTGGTCAAACAGGGGTTCCTCCAGAGGAAGCTGCATGCCGACATCGACGGCAAACGCAGTGAGTGAGACACAGACGTCAGGATACCTCTGAAGATAATTCCAATATTAAAACAATATCAATGATTTAGTTATTTTGACATTAAAACATCAACACCAACATTAGATACTATGTCGGACAGAGTTTGGTGAGGCGTGTTTTGGGGAACATAACATTATGGTGAACTGAGGATTTCCTTGTCTTTGCCAATGTGTCAGAAATAGACCAGATGTATTGCAAAATAAGAGCAGCTGGTAAGAGAATCATCTAAGAGACAGTCATTATTTACTCAAATTGTTATTTTAAAGGCAAACACTTAATTTGGACAACTTTTTTAACTGGTTTTTTAAAATTATATTTGCATACATAAAACATTTTTCACAGTCATTCAGCCTCAACCTGAGGAGGCACAACTCTGACCCTTACAGGACAATATGAGAATGCAAATTCTAATGTGGCAGTGGTGTTGTAAATGTTTATTCTAATGCTTTGTATGTTTCCTTTTAGTTTTTCTTAATTTTAAATGTGTTATTATTTGACCTATTGATAATCTATTTGTATTCTGTATAACACCATGGGTTAGCGCTCTTGTCAGTTAATCACCTGCTGAATGTTTCTGTGCTGCAGCTCCGTGGGGGAAGAGAGGCTGGAAGACTTTCTACGGGGTGCTGAGAGGAATGGTCCTCTACCTGCAGAAGGTCGGTTACACAGCTCTTAGGATTATCCGTTAGTATAATGGCTGTACCAAATGTCTTTCTATTTCTCACATTTGAAGCTCCTAGTGAGTATTTTCAAATAAAGCTTTGAATGTCTGTCATCAGATGTTATGATGTCATCACCCTAAAAATGTTAGATGAAAAATGTTGTTAATAGAATCAATAACATCTTTCTTGCCATTTAGTTTGTCTATTGGAGAACACTCTGGAGTTATTGGCAATGTTTTTAACACAGAAATAGGAAAAGATCCTACACAGCCACCGCTATAATCTAATTCTACAATTGATATAACACTGATAATATTAGTGTAGCCTAAATTAATTGAATCACGGTTTAAACCGGAAGAAAAAAATGCAGCATTCAAATGTTGATTTAGAAGTCAAATGTCAACGCAATGGAAGAAGCTTCGGTACACTTGGTACAGCCTTAAAAAGGGTTTTTAAATAGCACTCAATGCCATCATGAAATATTTGTTTTTGCCTCAGTATAGGAAATGTGTGGTGTGTTTGTGTGTGTCAGGATGATTACAGGAAGGAGCAGCCGACTAGCGAGGAGGTGGTGGTGAGCGTGCACCACTCTCTGGCCGAGCAGGCGGCCGGCTACAACAAGAAGCCTCACGTGTTCCGCCTGCAGACGGCCGACTGGAGGGTGTTCCTCTTCCAGGCCTCGTAAGTCCCAGCAGTGTGTTTCTTTGTGTGTGTGTGTGTGTGTGTGTGTGTGTGTGTGTGTGTGTGTGTGTGTGTGTGTGTGTGTGTGTGTGTGTGTGTGTGTGTGTGTGTGTGTGTGTGTGTGTGTGTGTGTGTGTGTGTGTGTGTGTGTGTGTGTGTGTGTGTGTGTGTGTGTGTGTGTGGTGTGTGTGTGTGTGTGTGTGTGTGTGTGTGTGTGTGTGTGTGTGTGTGTGTGTGTGTGTGTGTGTGTGTTTCTGTGTGTGTGAGTGTCAAGGAGTCGGAAAATCATTGTCTCTGTTTGTTTTCCTCTCAGATCCAAACTGGAGATGTATTCGTGGATCGGCCGCATCAACCTGGTCGCGGCGCTCCACTCCTCGCCTCCGTTCCCCGCCGCCGTCGGCTCTCAGAGGAAGTTCTTCAGACCGGTCCTCCCCTGCTCACAGTCCGCTCTCACCCTGGTACACACCCATTCCCCTCTTATCTGTTCTCACATCTTATATTTACAATTTTGTGTAAGCTTTTACGTTATTTCAATATGTGTTAGATGATCGGCTTAGTGTTACACTTAATGACTTGTGCTATGAATCTAGCTCGTTTTTTTGCATTGTCAGTCTCAAAAGACCTGTTGAAACTTCAAAGTCATAATTCACAAGACATATTATAAGCAAATACCTTGATATACATTTTCCTAAAATCACAATTTTTCTTAATCCTGCTTTTTGTTCTCTATTTAGAAAAAAACTTCACATTTGTATTTTTGAACAATCTCTTTTGTGACACTATGTACATTCGGCTGAACGGTGGCCACTGTGGCTACATGAAACAGTTCTGTTATAATCCTAGATGATAAAAAAACATTTTCTGTTAAATAGCAATAAAACTATCTTCTTTCCCTATAAACTACTGGTCATAAAATAAGCTGAGGCTAAATGAATTGAACAAAGGTGCCTTTTCATTTCTCACAAATCCCACTGAACGTTTTCTTCAAGTTTAAAGAAAAAAATATTTCAATGCACACATTAGTCGTATAATGCACATTTCCTTTAGTGAACTCTCCTTGAACAATTCTCCTCTTTAGATGTAATAGAGTATTGGGTACATCTTGTGTCCTCCCATTCTTTTGTTTTTTCCTCAGCAGAATTAGCATCTCATGCATTTTCATTTGTATGTGTTGCTCCTCCCTGTGCAGGAGCGTCAGCTGATGTCTTATGCAGGAATGCTGGTGTCCTTTAAGGATGACTTGTCGTACCTGCATGAGAACCTGCCAGAGGGCAGAAAGGCCAAAGCCAGGGAGCTGGAGGAGCATCGTGTCAGGGCGGAGTACCTGCAGCATGAGGTAATGGCCGCGCTGTCAGGCAAAGCTTGTGTGAACAAGAGGGAAAAATACGACTGCATCAAACAATTATTCTCAAGTAATAGATTAGTTGTTTGTCATATGAAATGTCAGGGAATAGTGAAAAACGTCCATGAAAATCATTGTTTTCCAAGATGATGTCCTCCAATGTGTTGAAATCCATAGTATATTCGGTTGAATGCCATTAAAGGTCTCCTGTTATACTATTCTTAGGGATATATTATAGGTCTCAGATATATAAAAAACATGTCTATGAAGTGTTTTGCTCGAAATACCAAACAGATCACCCATTGTAGCCATGCCTGATATCCCTCTATTGCAGCCCTGTTACTAAAGTGCTGATTCTGAAAAATAAAGAGAGCCGAAAAAAAGAAAGCCTGCCCACATTTCCGATATAATGTAATATCGGCAGCAAATCTGGATCAGCTCCGTTGAACCCCCGTTTTAGAGATTTGGGTACGGAGGAAAAGAGAGAGGGTTGTATTTTCGGACACTTTGTGAGTCTCCTGACACACCGGGGACACATATTGATGTATAAAAGACGTCATAAAGTGAATTTTGCATGATAGGAGACCTTAAGGGAGTAAGTAAAGCAGCTGAAATTACATCATTTTGATATTATGTGAAAAAATTGATTATAACTAATTTTACAATAACCTCGCAGATGTGCCGCTATGAGATCTACATCAAGTGCCTGGAGGCATGGAAGGCATCGAATAAGACCGGCACCAGTGTGTTGAACATCACAGACCTGAAGCAGTTTGATAAAGCTGTGTTTGCAGACTCTGTGGGGGACGAGGAGGAGGAGGAGGAGGAGGAAGGCAGGCTGATAAAGTCCCACTCCAGCCCCTCTCTGGACCTGGAGATGGCCCTCCCGACGGTGATCAAAGTCAGACGTAACATCTCAGAAAGACGGACTTACCGCAGGACCATTGTTCCTCGATGGAATAAAGAGAACTAAAAGGTATTTTTATGACCGATAAAAAGAAAAGCAGATTTTAGAAACATGCTGGTGGGACTGTTATTTTGTGGATATCTGCCTCAGGAGGTTTTTGTTCTGCACTTTTACAAAAAGAAACCTCAGGGAATCCAAAACCCTCAATCTCTCTCAGGATACAAAGCGGGAACCTGACTCATTGGCTGAGCGACTCAAAATGTCTGGACATAATTTATTTCGCTTTTTGTCTTAACTCTGTTTTTTTATGGTACTCAAAATGGTACAACTTTGCTTTCATTTGTTATTGTTTTTTACCTAGGGCAATATTCTGCCTTTTAAAATGTCAACCACTAGAGGTTGCTGTAGTACAACAGAACTGTGAGTGAGTGACGGGGACAGGATGTTTTAAAAACAGAATCCATTGCACTTTTATGGTTTGTAATATGTGTATAATATTTGGATGTCTCTGTTACATATTGTTTTTAAATGAAGGGTTTATTTCCAAAATGTGATGTATTTTTTTTCGTCTTAGGTCAAAATAAAATGTTACTTCTATGCATTTTTCAATATGGGTAAAACTATTTACTGATGTTAATACTGATCTGAGATTCCTGTTGGTAAGTTTGAATTTAAATACAACAAATACAATGATTGGCTCAACAGTTACAGGTATTTGGCAGCTGTTGTGTTAGATACAAACTAACTTACTAAGGTGGCTGCAGCAGTTGTGCAAATTAATAAACGTAAAGATGCAGTGTTCATATTTCAACAAAGAAAAAGGAAGATTTAGGATTTTTCAGATTTTGTTGCACTAGAAAAATGTAGACTCTGCTTTATTATTATTATCATTATGATTACTACTATTATTATTAATAATAATCTTATTATTTGAACACAGTAAAATGTGTGTGTTTGATCCTGATTGCACTTCCATAATCGTATACAATGTAAAATAATTAGAAAATGTACTTTCCAATCTAAAAAACGTTCTTTATGAAACGTATACCATAGATTAAGAAGGCTTTAAAAATATTAATATAAGTCACAGGGCCACAGTGAGAGTGACAGATTGATCAAACTAGTATACTATTACCTCGAGTTAAATCAGAAAATCGGTAAGATAGTTTGTTTTAATCACGGCGCACTTTTAATACTGCATGTATTCATTTGAATGATTATTGTTACTAGTCTTCTGAACTACAAAAAGGCAGACAAGAGTGGGAGTGTGTGAATATGTGTGTGTGTGCGCGTTGGTGCATATGTGTGTGTGTGTGTGTGTGTGTGTGTGTGTGTGTGTGTGTGTGTGTGTGTGTGTGTGTGTGTGTGTGTGTGTGTGTGTGTGTGTGTGTGTGTGTGTGTGTGTGTGTGTGTGTGTGTGTGTGTGATCGCTCTCACTGGCACGGGCTCCAGTTTGTTCTCTTTCAGCCTGACATGTTGAGCAGCAGTCGACCTGGGGCGGTCAACAATAAGAGCAGGATGTCTGGAATTAAGACCCCCCCTCCCCAAATCTCACACACACACTCACACAGGAATGTGATGTGACAATAGGAAACGCAATGAAGAACACAGACAATACGGACAGGGACTGTTTGGGTGTCCGGATTGGATCAAGGCTGGACAATCGGACGTTTCATTAAATCCGAAGCTCCTCGTTCAGATTTATTTAAGATTTTCCCTCCTTGACACACATCGGCTTTAACTGATCATCTGCGGTGATAGTTAACGTGATAATGCTCAACTTCTTGTCCTAGTAATGGAAGCAGTCTCCATTCATTCACAGGAATAACAACAACTCATTAAGATAAAGTCAGATTCTGCAGATGAGGGTGACTGATGGGCCTCGTGAGTGACAGGGGCCCGGGGCCATCATGGCTCCTCTAGAGAGGCGGGAGGCCACGCTGAAAGGCGACGCCATCTCGACTAACCTACATGCTCTCGGGGCTGTGACGAAATGTTACAGCAAGAGGCGGCCATTAGTGGCTATTCTTCATATCAAATTGAAATGTTTAATACTGTCTGGGACCCAATCTGTACTGGAGGTGCCCGTTGTGTGCTGGCGTCACACCGGACCTCTCCACCAAAAGCTTCTTCTCACTTGGCCTGTGGACCATGACTTGAGCGGTGGTGGTGGCCTTGTTTTGGAGTGCCATCCCTCTCCTTCTCTCCAACAACAATAATGACGGCTGGAGCAGCAGGGGCTGCATTAGCTGCTGGGTTCAGAGGGCATCCTTCCTAAGGAATTGGCCTGTTTTTGTTCCATCTGCGCGACTCCATTCTCGAGCTTTGTGAGACTCAGTCAGGCCTGGCTGGGTAATTAAAAAGGCAAGAGCTCAAGTTGTGATCATTAGGGGCTTGTCCAGCATAGGCTCGAAAAAAATAAAGACCCCGACACGTAAGGTCAGCCTTTTTTTTTACGCTTTCCTCCTCCCCCTCTCGCACTACTTTGCGTTGAACATTGCTCAACATCCACTCTGAAATGCCCTGTAAATATCAGCACCTGCAAACAGTGCCAGCAAACATAAACTTTACTGTAAACACTCCGATTCATCCTGTTTGTTTCCCGGCCTGAATGCTCCTCCTGACGCACATTCTCCATCTGCTGCTGACGCCTCGCACGCTCTACTTGCTACTTTTTATCTCTTATCCGACTAACACTTGATTTCTCCCACTCTGGCTATTGAAAAAACAGCCCCACCTCCGTCCTTCGCTCTTGACTGCTGCTGTTGTGATTTCTCCGTCCAGGGCCCTCGAAGCCTCTCTTTGGTCCTTTCAGTGGTTTTGTTTTTTCACTCAGACTCCACTCGCCTCTTTCACCGAGACATTAACTAAACACGCTTCTTATTCTCTCCAAGCGTCCACTTAAACCAGACATGTCTTGTACTTTTTATACAAACCCAGCAGTGAATGAAATCCCACAATAGTGTAATTTTCAGTGAGAAGTGTTATTCCTTTATCGCTGTAACTTGATTTAAACGTAATGAGAGTCACTGGAGAAAAACATATTTCCCTTCCGGACTCTTCCCCCTGCAGACTGCACTCATTAGTTTTGCTTTTCTCATGGCCAGACATTTCATTTTATTTGCCTATCAGACCCAAGCATGAATCTCTCTTTAGATTTTCATCAGAGCCCTTTAACAAATGCTGGCTTTTTGTAGCAAAGGAGCCTCTCATTGAGAAGGGGTAAAGGCAAGTGCCTTGCTTAAGGGCATTTAAACGCATGACCTCTTTTTGCCCTCTCCTCTTCCACACACACACTCCTGCCTCTGACAACAGTCCTCGGGCACAGACTCGGTGGCCTTTTAAGATGCAGGACAAACACACCGGTGGGCGCTCCATGGGTTAAAGCGACGTATAGAAAGCAGAGCAAGAATGTTTGTGAATGTATCTCCTCCATCTTATCTCCAGATCTATAAATATTTGCATTAATTCTTTCTCTGAAGTATTATCTTTGAACTATGGTGCAGTTGAAGGATAAAACCGCATTATCGGGAACTGTTGTGATGTTGAATGAGTTGTGTGTTTGACTCCCCCCGGCCTCCACAGGTCAACCCGCTCCCTCAGGGCAGTACCTGATACCTGGCAGATTTTATCCACCTCCGTGTGTGTGTGTATAGTGCTGAATGTGTGTGTGCTTTGAAAGGTGCGTTTTTCTTGATGTCTTCCAGTCAATAGCAGCTTCCTGCCTTCAGGGCCAGTGTGTTGTTTAATAGGCTGGTCGGACACAGGGCACCTGTGTTTCCTCCCCTCGCTGCTCCACACAGAAACACCCTCTGTTTGACCACTTTGCTCTGTTTGACTGGCACATTTGTTCCAGGTGCATTATGGTTAAAGGTGGAGGAGATTAGGTATCTTCTTGAAATGTGAGGAAGGTGTTGTCATTTGAAGTCCGCTCAGGTGTTCGGAGGCTCTCAACATTCGGGTGGTCGGTCCACCACTTTGGTCCAGACTAATATATCTCCACAGCTGTTTGATGGATAGCTATGAAGTTTTGTTAGGACTTTAATGGTCACTGATGATCAATGGTCAAAGGATTCAGTTACATTGACTGATTGGCATCATTTTTCTTTTGTTATTCATGTTCCCAGAGGATGAATCCTCCTGACTTTGGTGATCCTTTGAGCAATGTCTTACCATCTATTGGTTTTTAAATTTGAAAGTTTTGTTATCAGAAGTACAAAGTTGCCGACGACGTTGTTCTTGCTGATGATTTCAAATGCATCTTGAAGATTTAGGCTGAGGAAGGTCGAGAGATGTGGTTGACAGCTTGAAAGTAGTTTGGACTACCATGAAACTAACTATGGATATTCATGTCCATATGAGGATGCTTTTTAATGACTTTGGTTTTAAGTTCTTTGTTTCTTTGTACATGCATGGCTGTAGAAGTGATGGGAGTAGTTTTAAGTGTGAAGATGGATAAAGAGAGAATTTAAAATTCTGCCTATTGTCATGTTGGGCACACCTGACTAATCACTGCATAAGGTGGACCTGATTATTGGATTTTTGGTTTAGGAAATTACAGAAAAACACAGCTTGCACAATTCAAAGAGCCAGAAAGGTGCAGTGGGAGTGGGTCAAAGCACAATGGCACCTTTTATCTTGATGCAAGTATATGAAACCAAAGGACAATGGAAAGCTGGTATTGCGGAAGTGAACACAACAATGTAAGAATCTCACACAAATATTCAGAGCAAAAGATAATGACTCATTGCAAAAAGACAACAAAGAGATCAGAATAATCCGTCATGCTTCGTCCAAAACAATTAACAAACAAGGTGATGGGTTCACTCACACAATCTAGGTTTTCTCAAGGGCCACAAACACGGGGCCCACACAGCAGCGCTACCATTCAACGTTTAAAACAACAGCGTGTTCTGCAGCTCATTTAGACGGGCAAATTCTGTCGGCCTACATAATACTTATTTGCCCGGGCTGAATTGGTTGGCCCAGTGTCTCGGGCCCGGAGATAAGTGGAGAACTTTCCAGATGACTGACGCAGGACAACCCCGACCCGTCATCCCACTGATTGCCACACACTCCTCTGCTGCCTTTTTGGCAGCAATTTCTCCAGGGGCCCCCATTCTGTCTTTGAGTTTGTCCCCATAATGGTGATGGGACACATGCCTCTTCCTCCATCACACACACACACTCACACACTGACACAGTGTTAGTATGGCTCTGTGTTAAATGTAGTAAGTCCCAGTCGCCCCGTCCTGCCAGCTTTGTCTGCCCTCAGCTGTTCCGGCCCGGTGCCTGTATTGTGCTGCCGGGCTCATTACCAGAAGCACTGTGGCCCGAAACCTCCTCGCTAATAGGCCCAGAGAGAGACAGAGAAGAGTTATTTCTGCTGTGGCTTCTGTGTAGCAGTCTAAGGTTTTATGTTTTACTCTTTTGGCAGTTGGACTGTTAATGTTTAACTCCAACTGCTGTTATTTCTCTGGCAGACTTTAAGCGGGTTTAGGAATTTGAAATAGTTTTGAGTGAAAATGTGCCGCGTCCCTGTGACGCATGCACTTGAAAGCTCCTCTGTACGTAAGAGTGTATATGGATGTGTGTGT